GGTAAATCAGTCTGTGAAGTTTTTTACACTGGAAGACAATTATGAAAATAGTGTTCTTATTTCTCATACAATGGAGGCAGGAGTTTCTTTTCAAAACAGTCACAAACTGTGGGAGCTACACTGTTCTGAGATCCAATGGAGCCAGAGCCCTGTGTGGGGACACACGTTACCAACCAGCACGTAGGAGGCTGAGGCAGAATTGACACCAGCTTGAGGCCAGCGTGGGCTACCCAGTGAGTTCAAGGCCAGCTTGGAATGTGAAGGGAGACCCTATCTCAGTAGTAAACAGCCTGACTCTTAGCTAAATCCTAATTCTTAGGTATAAGTCAGAGTATTTAGAATTGATGGTTGTATATGCAAGTGATTGTTTGGTAATAACTTTTTATAAAATGGATGGAGAGACTTAAAACCCTTTTTCTCATCATTTTCCTAAAGTACAACTATGTACCAATATGTATGCATATTGGTTTAATTTGCATAGAATAAAAATTTTCATTTTACATGTTTCTGAATTATACATTTTGACATTCATTTTATGACTTTTTTAAAAGTAGAGAATTGCATTTTTTAAAATTTTTCCGGTTTCATGCAAGTATATGTATTCACAAAGACTGCTTGTATACATTTTTAAGTGAGAAGTGTAAGAAGCACACCTTCAAAGGCAGGCACGTGGGACATTTTGCATAAGGGATAGCTACTTAGGAACACGGGCAGTTCCATTGCAGTGCCACCTTCATAGCTTGTGAGTTAAAAATTGTATTTATATTTTAAATGGTTTTTAAAAAGAAAAGTATAAATATGAAAATTAATTGCCTTTACCGTCCATAAGTGATTTTATTGGAGATCAGTCCTACTCATCCTCCAGCATATTGTGTCCAGCTGCTTTTGTACCACAGCTAGAGTTGAGTGGCTGTGTCTAGCCTGTGCCCTGCGAAGCCCAAGCTGTGCCCATCTGGGGCTGTACAGAGACTACCAGTGTGGTCTGTGGTGTAGTGGGCATGACAGCGGAGTTCCCCAGGGTAAGTGTGCAGGGACCGTGCTCATTACTGCATGTGTTCCTGCTGTAGTCATTGTCACTCGTATCTAGGAGAATTTATCGCTGTCTAGGCTAACAGCAGCTGAACCCCTGTTCACAAAGAAAATCTTTCACTCTCAAGTTACGTTGCAAATAGTGCAAAGGATTTATCTTCTGTAGAATGAGATTCTGGATTGGTTTGTGCCGGCTCAGCACAACACACAGGTTTTTCTAGCCGCGCACGTCACAGCCTCACTGCAGTTGGAAGCGTTCCTGCCTAGTCTTGGGACCGCCAAGAGGTTTTCAGTCTACTCCACCTCCTTGAAATAATTTGCCTTCAGCCATTGTCTCACAGGTATAACTGTACTCTTGTTACTCATACCACGTAGGTTCTTCGTATGCTCTTAGAAATTGTGGCTCTAGATCTGCTGAAAGACTGAAGATTGTTGTTGTTGATGGATGGAAAATAAGTGAAAAGTCACAAAAAGGTGACATTATATACCAGACTTGACAAGTATAGGAACTGAAGAGAGAAATGTAGCTTGAGAAAATGACAGGTATTTTCAAGTTATTTTCCCTGTAGAACTGAGTATAAGGCAAAGTCAGTAGTAAAATAGATACTGTGGGCTTGAGTCAAGAGGAGTTTGAAGACGAGGGAAAGGAGAAGATATACCACGTGCTTCGCAGTCTCTCGGGCTTGGAAGACCCCATGAAGCCCCAACTTCTCCTGGCACCAAGAAGGTACTAGTTATGTATCATTTGTAGGAAGAGAGAGATCACAGCTCAGATCTCTGATCATTTTTAGGGCTCCAGATGAGCATAGGGAACACATAGGTTGTGTTATGATCCCTGGTGAGGGCATGAGATGGGTGAGTTCTGTAAACATCTACAGGACAAATGCAATGTAAAAGACACTTGCAGGGCAATTTTCTCTGTACCCTTACCATTTCTTGTGCTGTTTTAATTTTTTTTTTAAATTTTTTTGTTGGTACCAGGGATCAAACCCAGGACCTTGTGCTTACCGGGCAAGCACTTCTACTGAGCTATCTCCTCAGCCCCTCCTGTGCTGTTTTAAACTTACATTCATATCATACTTTCCAAATGCATTTGGACATTCAGTGCTAAATGCTCAAGGATTGCGTGGTAATCCTTGTAAAAGAAGGTAATTGATAGTACTTTAATAATCTGGCTTCCAGCCCTTTCTTAAAGTTATGTACGTGCCATGTACCAGGTGGCAGCCATCCAGTTGCAACAGTGCATACAAGTTTTCTGTACACAGAATAAGAACAGAGAATCAAAATAACCAAGGACTGTGAACAAAACACTTGCTGTAGGAGCCAAAGGTAAATGTTAGGGGCAAAAGAAGTGAAGTACTATTTATGTTATAGATACTGGTCATAAATTTTTATATGTTTGTTTATTGGAATAGTAATAGATTGTTTTGAAATCATTTGATGAGAGAGGGTTGTCGGCTTATTTTCTTTTTGATGTTTACTTAATGAATTGTGACCAGGTGTGGTGGCCCACGCGTATAATCCAGAGGTAGCAGGATTGCCATGAGCTTGAGGCCAGCCTGGGCTATGTAGTGAGTTCAAGGCCAGCCTGAACTATATAGCAAGACCCTGTGTCAAAAACCCAAAAAACAAATTTAGTGAATTGTGTACAAATTAAGCATCCCAGAATCATGTAGTTTGGCTCTTTGCTTTTTGGCAATTTTTTGGAAATGCTATTTTTAAAGAAAGACATTCTAACTGCTATGTGTGTATTTAGATTTCTGAATTTAAAAATTGGTATTGCTATAGTCTAAATTTTTTATTTTATTGTTTTTATTTTTTGCTACCATAAATTGAACTCATGACCTTGCACTTGCAGGCAGGTGCCTTTGGCGCTGAGCTGTGTCCCCGGCCCGGGGATTTAAAATAATTAGAAAATTATATTGATTTTTTTTTTTTTTTGCATTTACTGTACTTAAAATTTGTCACCACTAGGTTGTGCTAAAGCAGTAGCTTTTATGTACTAATAATATCCATTATTTTAGTTTTATCAATATTATAAGGATTTTTTTTTTTTTTTTTCCCCCCAGAACCAGGGATTGAACTCAGGCCCTTGCAGTTGCCAGGGAAGCGCTTATTCTACTGAGCCATCTCCCCGGCCTCTAAGGATTTTCTTTTTCTCACTTCAAGCATATGTCAGTTGCAAAATAACAATTTTGCAGTGTCTAAAATACAAACTGTGTTGTATGTTTTCATATTTTAAAGCAGTACTACTCTCTTTTAAAACTGAAGTGTTGGAAAATTACAAAATGAATATATTTAAATTTGTAAAACTTCCAAACAGTAAAGAGTTCAGACAGCTGTCATGTGTCTTACATTGTTCACAAATAAAATATTTTTTGTAAATAAATCCCTGATTATATTTAAAACAAAACCAAACCATTCTTGTATATATTTCACAGTATTTTACTGGTTCTAAGGACCGAAATACTTAAAAAGAGCTCAAACCAGAATAAGAAGTTAAACATTTTAAGTTACCCTAACATTTAAATCAGCCTGGTATAATAGTTTTGGATTTAAAGTATGGTGTCTCAGAACATCAAAGAGAAATACATTCACGTAGCAGTAATGGTAGGTTGTAAATTCATTTTGGATATAAAATCAAGGAAGAAAGGAATTTTGGGACCCTGAGCACCCTGTAATTAATAACGGTCCAGGACCTGAAACATGAAGTACTGATGGAAAATTCCATACCTAATGTGACCGGTTCCAGGAAAAACTGGTCAACTAAAATTTTATATAAAATCAACTTTAGGTAATGTTATATATGACTCAAATTTTGTTTTTAGACTTGGATCTCCCAATATATTTCATGTGTGTGTATGTATGTATATATATATGTATATTATTTATTTTTCTTGTTCCATCATATGTATGTAAATTGCAAAATCTGAAATCTTATAGTACACCCAAGGCTAAGGGGAGCAGCTAGAGCTAGAGCCCCTTGGTCTGGCATGCACAGGACCCTAAGTTCAATCCCCTGCACTATAGCAATCAGTGCTACTAGCCGTGACTGTATATTCATAAATGCATGCTAGTCAACATGTATAATTAATGACTTAAGAGCTAGATCTTAGCTTTGAACCCTGATCAGCCCTTTAGGCACTTAGGGACTAGAAACTTTGATGTGTGTGGTGTTGTTCAGGCACTTTAATAAAAAATTAGACCTTGCCCCTGGGGCAAGCTGAGACAGCGAATGAGATAGGGCATAGTGGCTCATGCCTGTAATCCCAGCATTTGGGAGGCTGAAAACAGGAGGATCACTACAAGTCCAGTCTTGTGTAGTGAGACCCTGTAGACCCTGTACTAAATAATTAAAAAATAAAAATAATAAAAAATTAGAAATAGAATCAGCAGTCATAAGGTCACAGAATGAAAAGCATGACTCATTTCCTGGCTCTCCCATCCTCATTTCCATCTTAGGTTAGATACTGCTGACTTTATAGGTTTCATTTTGGTGGTTATTACATCTATAACTGATTGTATCTTTATATATAAGTAGTATCTCCATAAAGATTGCAAAATTTCATCATAGTAACACTACCTTCTGTTGGGAGGAACAAATTCACAATGGCTAATTTTGCATGCTTCCTTAAGGGACTAACGGAAGTTTAGGATTAGTACCGCCCTTGTGAGATTTCCCAT